CAAATTCTAGAAGTTAATATCTGATAGAATATTCAGTAAAGTGTTTCAATTTAAAGTGTTTCATTTATAGTGAGGGAAGCTGGAATTAGCTGGATCAAAAAATATTGAACTTGAATTTAATTAGGGATATGGTTATCTTAATGTTTCATATAGGCAAAATCTGATTAGATTGTTATTTTTATATTAATGCACAGTTTATATGACTATGAAGACAATGAGATTATGTTTGTTATGGGACTCATATCACAAATGTATATTTCTTATTTCAGTGTATAAAAACTTTTTTTTTTTTTTTTTTGTACTGTGGATTGTGAACCCAGGGGTGCTTAAACAACTGAGCCACATCCCCAGCCCCTTTTTCTGTTTTGTTTAGAGATAGGGTCTCACTGAGTTGCTTAAGGCCTCGCTAAGTTGCTGAGGTTGGCGTTGAACTTGTGATCCTCCTGTTTCAGCCTTCCAGGCTACTGGGGTTATAGGTGTGGGCCACTGCACCCAGCTAAACTTTCGATTGAGTGAGGCTGGTGTCACATTAGTTAGGTTTGAATCTAAATTTTGTTGCTTCAAAACATTTTGGCTTTGGGGATGTTAGTAACTTTTCTGCCTCTGTTTTCTCATCTCTGTGATTTATGAATTACTAATACTTAATCCCATAGGGTTTTTATCAGTATTAAGTAGTACATGTTAAGTACATGTATTTCTCAAATACTGTACAGTATTTCTCAAAGTAACAATAAATAATACTAGGTATTATTATTTTTCTTTTTGTATAAATAGCAAGTGATTTTCAAAATTTAGAATTTAATTTTTGATGTTTTCTGTACTCTTGTTTCATTGAGTAAGTTTAAAAATGTTACTAATTCTTTTTTGACTCAGGTGATCCCATTCTTTCATTACTTTCAATCTCAGCTTTTATTGGCTTTCTAATTATTACATTTGCAAAGTGAATACTAAAAACTTGAGTTTAGACTCAATTTTAGGAGGGATGACACCTGACTTAATATTATGAATTGATCATAATCAGAAGTTTTGACTAACCATTATATTTGTGGCGGGGGCGGGGGAAGGAGGGGGAGAGAGAGAGAGAGAGAGAGAGAGAGAGAGAGACACACACACACCACTAAAATTTTAGTGAAGATAAAATGGGAAAATTCTCGTATACTCCCATATTATGCATTCAAAATGTTATTATTGTACAGTTTTCTGACATGTAAAGTACTATAATTCTTGCTAATTTAATAAGGTTATACAGAGTAGCTCTAAATTTATAGAAAGGTCTTAGAATAATCAAATAATTGAGTATTTTACAATTTATTAAATTCTATGAAATTGTCATAGGGAACAGAAAGGTGAGGAATGTTTAATTTGTTTTTCTAATATGTACTTGGTTTGTGTTATTAATAGTACTGTGTAGTAGTTTAAGAAAAGGATTTAGGGCTGAATTATTACAAATACAATCAGTACTTATATAAATCAGAATTATGGGTATTTAAGGAGATAAGTAATTTCCAGTTCCTTTATAAAATAGCTGCTCATATTGTATTATTACATGTGGGTTCATGTAATAATACAATAAACTGTTAGACTAAAGGAGTAGGGTGTTCTAATACAGTAACATTTTACTTAGCTAGAGATTATGCTACCAAGGTTCTTTGTGTGTGAGTTTCTGTCTGTCTCTATTTTCCCCTCTACATTTAGTTTTTTCTTTCTTGTTGTTGCTTTATGTATGTTTCCCCCCCACCACCACTTCTATATTTTCTGTGTTTTAAAGGCTTGCTTATGTTGAGTTTTGTTTTTCCAGTTTTCAGTTTTCCTTCCCCTCAAATAAATTTAAAAGACCACAATAGAAAATTTGTTTTATTTTTATGTTTGCTTCATTTGTGAATTTAAAAATATTTTTCATTGCTGATTTATAAGGTTAATAAATATGATAGTTTGTTTTTTCTTAAACATACAGCCCAGTATAATTTTATTATATAACTCTTGCCTGAATTTATACTGATTAAAAAGACTAATTTTCTTTCCATTAAATCAACATTATTGAGCTTATTTTTTTCAGTTGTGAATTAAGAGCATCTTGTGTTAGTTTTAGAGTCAGGATCATTGTTCTGATATTGATGTTTTACTCTGTAGTCCTCAGGATTATGCAGGAAATTTATCTGAATCTATACTAACTCTAGAACATACCCTGAAAGTTATCTTAATACCACAGAATCTGCATTGGATTCTTTAAGAATATCAAGGACTTTAAGATATTATGATCAGATTAGTTCCATTATTTCTGATAAATTAAATTTTTGAATCTTTATAAATTGATTATTCAGATGTTGTATGCAGAATTTCGTTTACCCCTTTTAAAAAACACCTATGTGATAGTGTAGTAGTTCAGAACGTGCTTAGATTTTAAGCTAAGCTCAGTTCATGCTTCAGTTCTATGACAACTGTTTCTTTTTCTGTTGAATATATTTAGTAATATAACTTATGTTGTGAGAATTGGATATATGTAAAGCAGTCACAAAAGTCCTAATAGTACTTAGTAAATGCTAGCCCAAATTATTATTTTATTTGTTGCCCTTTTTCGTAAGAAATAAATGAAGGATTAGGAGATTGGTGACAGTTTAGTGTTAAGCCACACATTGAGGATCTAACATTATCTACTGTGATAGGCTTGTACAGTTTTGATTTCCCCGTGGATTATATATTATCAGGAAAAGCAAGTTAGGAGTTGTAAATATTGGGAGTGTTTGTTATTCTTAATGTTATAACAGTATATGAATGAGGGATAAACAGGGCTTTTTGTGAATATGGCCTGTTTTATTTTGGTTTTACTCCAGTAAACTTTCATACAGGAACACTTGTGAATAGAAATCTTCCGATGTATGAATTGAATTTATTCTAATTCATTCAGATGTTAAAACAACTTAAGGTGAATTTCTATGTAATTTAACTTATTTCTTAGTATGAGATAATGGTAGAGAATGATGTTTGGAGAATCTTTAAGTACTTTAATATGGTCTAAATAGCTGGTAGACACTAGATTGTTGGCTTAGAAATGCCAAGTGCAATACTGTGTTATGTCAGAGTTATACACTATATTTTAATTTAGTGTTGTAGTGAGAGGGCATCTAAATGGAATAGGAAATTATTGAGAAACCTGGACATTCAAGAATTTTTAGGTCTCTTTTCTGTGAAAGGGTCCACTGTCTCCCTTTAGAGTGTCTTCTTTCCCTTCTAATAAACTGTGCTGTATTTTATTTATTTATTTGGGGATGAGGTGGCTGGGAATTGAACTCAGGGGCACTTGGCCACTGCTCCACATTCCCAGCCCTATTTTGTATGTATTTTATTTAGAGACAGGGTCTCACTGAGTTGCTTAGTGCCTTGCTTTTGCTGTGGCTGGCTTTGAACTCAGGATCTTCCTGCCTCAGCCTCCAGACCCAGTGGGATTAATGGTGTGCGCCATCACACCTAGACTTTGCTGTATTTTAAACTTGTTTTTGTATTTTATTTTTGATGTTTTTTGCCCTGAGAAATAATGAAATAATGTCCTTTTCCCCCTTCAATATGTTTCTGGTGTTATTTCAGAAAACATGATGAATCAAAATCATCTTCATTGTTCAGAGAGACCTTTTTAAAGAAATGATTTAAATACTACTTAAAAAATTTGTTAGATGTTTTATAAGAAGCAGAATGTTTAATATACTTAATTATCTCTAAGAATATATTCAAAATTACTAACAATAGTTATCCCATTCCTTGGTATTTATTCAGAAAAACTAAAATCAGCATACTACAGTGATGTTAATTGCGTGCAATTCATAGTAGCCAAATTATGGAACCAACCAAGATGCCCATCAACATACAAATGTAATAAAGAAAATGTAGTGCCATCAACAGACAGATAGAATAAAGAAAGTGTAATACTCATTCACAATGGAGTCTTATCTACAGAAGAATGAAATTGTTTGTCATTTGCTGGTAAATGGATGGAACCTGAGAACATCATGCTAAGTGAAATAAGCCAGACTTAGAAAGTCATGGGTTGAATATTTTTTCTTATATGCTGGAGAGAAATAAGACATTAAGAAAAAGGGGATCTCATGAAAATAGAAGGGAAAATAGTAGGGTAGAGGAAGAGGGTTGAGGGGGAGGGAAGGAAACTGAGAAAGGGGAGGAACTGGAGAATGAAATTAACCAAACTGTGCTATGTGCATGTATGAATGTATCATGGTGAACTCCACTTTTATGTATAACTATAATGCACGAATTACAAAAACAATAAATAGAAGGAAGGCCAGTTGAGTAGAGGAAGGGTGTCAGGGTAGGGAAGAGGGGAGAGAATGGGGGGAAGTACTGGGGATTGAAATGGAGCAAATTATGTTATATGCATTTATGAATGTCAAAATGAACCCCACTATGCATTAATAAAAGGAAATAAAATCACAACATAATTTTCAACCTTTTAAAAATCTCCATATTGATCAAAATTTGGCTTTCTTTTTTAAAATTTATCTGTATATTTTGTCCTAGGTGAGGAGTATCATATCTTAGAGATCATATTTTAATTAAAAAACTTGTTTATGTTGTTTGTTTAAACTTTGATAAGATTAGACAGAGATCTCATTTTTTCATGTAGGCGTTCACACCTAATTATTTTTAAAAAATGTGGGCTCATATGAATATACAAATAAATTTATAACCTGTCTTCTTAATATATTGTAGATTTATAGAAAATTTTACTTTACAACATTCTTGTGAAAATTATAACTGAAAGATTAGTGTTATTGAACATTAAAGGAAAACTGTGCTGCATCATTAAATAGAATTCATTGCAGATATGCAAAGATGCTTCTTTATTAGAAAATATATTAACATAGCTCATTATTAATTGATAAGTAGAAGAAAAAAGAGTATTATAGTTCATGTCCATTAGGCATTTGATAAAAGTTTTTTTTTTTTTTTTCCTAATTAAGTGTATTTAATAAAAAAGGTAAATTAGGGGCTGGGGTTGTAGCTCAGTGGTAGAGCGCTTGCCTGGCATGCATGAGGCCCTGAGTTCAATCCTCAGCACCACATAAGAATAAATAAATAAAAATAAAGATATTGTGTCCATCTACAACTAAAAATATTATAAAAAATTTTAAAAAGGTAAATTATTTATTAAAAGTGTTAAATGTCAGCAGCATGCTTTATAATCTTATATACAGCTTTTTCAAAACATTTAACTTTCCACATGTTATTTTTGTTGTTATAACTATTAAGGTAAATTGCAAACATTATGTCATTTCTTAAAATACTCCCATAAATCTTCCAAGAAACAGGATTTTTAAAATATAACTGCAAACTGGGTACAGTGATTCTAGCACTGAGGTAGGAGGATTACCCGGTGTGATGCCAGCTTCTGCAATTTAGCCAGGCCTTAAGCTGCTTGAGGAGATCCTGTTTCAAAATAAAAAGTAAAAAGGGCCAGGGATGTGACTCAGTGGTAAAGCACCCCTGGGATTAAATCTCTAGTACAAGGAAATAAAAAACAAACATATATATATAATCTGCAACATTATTGTCATACCTAATATTACCAGTAATTCTCTGTTGTCATCTAATACTCAGTGTTTACATTTTCCTGGTTTGAACCAGTATCTTCTAATCCAGTAATGTGATTATTATGTTTCTTTAATCCCAAATGTTTTCTCTGCCTTTCTTCTTCCTTTTTCTCTTCTTAATCAGTTTTCCTACTCTCTGTCCTCCTGTTTCTCCTCTTCCTCCTCTTTATTGCTGTGGGGGCTTGTCCTGTGCATTGTAGGATGCTTTAGCATTGCCCCTGGTCTCTGTGATAGCACCCTCAGCCCTGTGTTATGATTACCAAAAATCTCTCTACATTGCCATATGTCTCCTGGAGGTAGAACTTACCCCAATTTAAGAAACACTGAATTAAAGGTGGCATCTAATTAAAAAACAAAAAAGTCCAAAACTTATATTTAAATTTTTTTTTTATCTTGTTCAATCCTGAGTCAATTTTGTTTCCTTGGTTTTCTTGCTTATTCTTTAGGCTTATATATTTCTTTTCTCTATGTTGTTTAGTAAGTGGTAATGTGAAGAATAACTTTACTAAGATCATTTGGATATTGTAAAAATGTAACTGTACGATTCAATGCATTGATGTATACAATTCATTGATTTTTGGTATATTCAGAGTTGTGTATTTACCATCACATGTTGTGTAATGAATTATCCCTCACCCTTTAGCCATCACTTCCCAGTTATCCCTCCCCCATACTCGGTTCTTATAATTTTTTTTTTATATTACATATATATATATTTTTATATTTATTTTTTAGTTATAGTTGGACACAGTACCTTTATTTCACTTATTTATTTTTATTTGGTGCTGAGTATCGAACCCAGGGTCTCACACATGTGAGGTGAGCACTCTACTGCTGAGCCACAATCCCAGCCCTATCTGGTTATATTTTATGAACTGAATTGTACAGTATGTGATCCTTTGTGACTGTTTTCTTTCTTTTAGCATGTTTTCAAGGTTCATCTGTATTGTGTCATGTGTCAGAACATCAGATTTCTTTTTATTGCTGAATAGTATTTCATTGTATGGATCTATTGCATTTTGCTTATCGTCTTATCAGTTGCTGGGCATTTAGTTTATTTCCACTTTTTTTTTTAAAGTTGGACACAATACCTTTATTTTATTTGTTTATTTTTTATGTAGTGTTGAAGATTGAACCCAGTATGTGTGTACTAGGCAAGTGCTACCCTTGAGCTACAACTTGGCCCTTCCACTTTTTGATTACTATAGAATAATGCCGCTGTGAACATTTGTATAAGTTCTTATTTAGACATGTGGTTTTATATCTTTTGTGTATATACCCAGGAATGGATTGCTGGGTCATATAGTAAATCTCTGGGTTTTTGAGAAACTATGAACTTTTAAAAAATGGTTTCACTCTTTTATGTTCCCTCAACAGTATAGGAACATTCTGTTTTCTCCACATCCTGCAGAATACTTGTTATTGTCTTATAGTTGTTTTGCATTTGCATGTCCCTTATGTCTAATATTGAACACATTTTCATGTATTTATTAACCCTTTGCGTATTTTCTTTAGAGAAATGTCTGTTTAAAAATGAGTTCAGTTGTAAGAGTTCTCTGTGTATTCCAAGTAGAATTCTATTATCAGATATATGATTTGCAAATATTCTCTCCCAATCTGGGCGTCAACTTTTGATTTTCTTGATGGTAACATGTGCAGCACAAAATCTGCTTTTGATATAGTTTAGTTTATCTTCTGTTTCTTGTGCTTTTGATGTTCGAAGGTAATTATTTACATTCTATGAGCATTTTTACTAAGGGTTAGTTTCAGGTAATGGTATCAAATACCACTTATGAAAGAAAAAATAGACAAAAGGCAGACTGAAATTAAGCCATTATTGTTTTCTTCAACTTGAATTGGAAGTTTTTTCCATGCATTTTATTATCGTGTCTAGATGGTGTATATATTTATGGAAGACTCTACTGAGGATTTGAGGGTAGCAGGGGCATGGGTTTACATTGCAGTGGTGCTGGATAATTAACAACCACTATGTTCTGTAGGGTAAACTAAAACTGTAGTAATCTAAAATTCTGTAACATTGTAGTTTTTCATTGCCTGCTGTGAGTGTTCTTCATGGCCTAGAGGCGGAGGACTAGTCCTTCAAAACAGGAGACTTGGTTTTTTTTTGATTTATTTGCTTATTTTTTAGTTGTAGTTGTCAATACCTTTATTATTTATTTATTTTTATGTGGTGCTGAGGATTGAACCCAGGGCCTTGCATGCACTAGGCGAGTGCTCTATCGCTGAGCCACAATAAACATGCTGTTTCTGCCTGTGTGATCTGCTTATTTGCTGCATGATCGCATGCATTATTGGGGTGTTTGCTCATTGTCTTTTTTTCACAGTGCATTCTGACTGTCTGGAGCTTAGCCTTGGAGATCTTTATTGGCATTCTCTTTCACCAGTTTTCCAGGTCCAGGATTCACAGCTCAGATCATTGTGTGGTCCTGTTGCCTTTTTACAAGGAGCCACTTGGCCTTAGTGTTTACCTTCATCATCTCTGCCTTCTTAGTGTCATGCTTCTCACTGAAGTCTTTAAAAGTTCCATTTGCCACATAAACTGTGACATATTTTTCTTTAAACATTTTCCATATTCAAATCTGATTTAAAGATCCTGTGCATGGTAGATTATTTCCTGGTTGTTTTCACAATTTAACCAACTATTTTGTTTTACTTTTTCAAAATAGGATATTGATTTAACATTTTTTTGGTTTGATGGAGTACAAGAAATTTTGTGATTATTGGTAGAAATAAATGTAAGGATTTATGTCTTCACCTAAATCTTTAAAATAATTGTTAATTTAATATGCATAGATGATTTGGAATATGATGTAATCTTTGTAGGAAAAGTGGTATTTGCTATCTAAAAGTAGCAATATAAAAATAACTGCAGCTTATTTTCCTTTCTAATCATTAACTGGCATCCTAACACATATGTTCCACTTGCCTTTAAATAGTTATTTTTATATTGTTACTTGTAGTGTATATTTTTTGTTTTAAAAAATTATATGCTCTTGAAAAGTAAACCAGTGTAGAAATGTACTAAGTAAAAAGTGAAAGTTTTATTTACTTTTTCCAATTTAAAATAATCAGTGTCTACTTCCATATTTTTCTTTGTGTAGACACATCAGAGTTTTCATCAAATTTCAGAAAAATTACTCTTAAAGGAATTAATATGAATTGTCTTCCTCTTCCTTGATAATTTTTATTAGTGCTTAATTTTTCCAATAGTTTTTGTTTATTGTTACACTACAGTTTTCTCCCATTCTCTCTTCTCTGTGGACAGTAGTTGCTCAGTGAATTGATTTGATTCAGAATCCAAGAGCAAATGAAACATATATGTTAGGATGCCATTATTGATCAGAAAGGAAAATAAACTGGTAAAGATGTGTCACCGGAGGTGAAGAGAGGATCTTGATTTCTAAGACATTGATTTAGATGATTGTTCAGAAGATCTGTGTTTTCTTTTACTTACCATATACTTTTTGGGAGCCACTATGTGTGCCAGATACTGTATTTGGCATCAAACATACAAAAGTGAACAAAACATGCACAGTTTATATGCTCATGAGACTTATTGCTTGTGGTAGGTATAGGAAAATAGGCAATTCCAATGTGAGATAAATGTGAATACTGGCAAGAGTCTTTAAAATGGTGAACTATGGAGTTCAATCTAGAAATGAAAGTAAAGAAGTATGGAAGTAGGTAAGAAAGGAAAAAGTACTAAAATCAAGAGCCTGCAACTCTGAATGATAGTGAAAAAATAGATGCAGTTACCCTAACTGATTTAGAATTAGAAGATTGAGGTCAGAGAATAAGTATGTAGGATAGAAAAGAATGTTTTATTGACATGTATCAGAGTTTTCTGATGAATGATTAATAGTGCTCAGGGGATCAGTGGTTTTCACAAGACTGCAGATTGGAATCACTGGGAAACTATAAATTACCAAAGTCCTTATCTTAACTTTGTTGCACATTGGAAATCCTGATGCTTGGCTTCCATCCCTAAGTAATCTGTTTTAATATTACGTAGTGTTATCTGGGTAGTGGGGTTTTTAAATGCTTTTCTGCCTCACTGCTCTTTAAGTAATTCTTTTTTTTTGAATTTTTTAATATTTATTTTTTAGTTATTGGCGGACACAACATCTTTGTATGTGGTGCTGAGGATTGAACCCGGGCCGCAGGCATGCCAGGCGAGCGCGCTACCGCTTGAGCCATATCCCCAGCCCCTAAGTAATTCTAATATATATATATATATATATATATACACACACACACACACACACACACACACACACAGAAATTTTATAGGAGCATGGCCTGCATCCTGAAGTTTGGGTTCATGATAAAGAACAAACAACCTTTGTTTTGAAAGATTGGAAAGAAGCAGCTTTTTACTTGAGGCAAGATAGTGAAGTTGTTGGGGGATATGAGAGTACTTATTTTTACGGTGGAACAGAGTGAGCCTAGAGG